CTTTTCTGCTCTGGACCGCTATTATCTCACCTCCCTGTCACACCCTCACCCTGCAATGTCCTACAATGTTTTCTGTACAAAGTGCCCCTCTGGGTGACACTCCTGGTTCACGTACCCATGGATTAACTGTCTGCCAGAGAGGGGAAAGTAGTCTGGGTGATTGTGAATATCCTCTTTAGTGTCAGTATTAATATACAACACTATCGCCCAGACTATCTACTTTTTACTAATAACTCACTATAGGAATACATTTTTATATATGTATATACATATACACACACACATATATATACACATACATATACACACACATACATACATATATAGATAGATAGATAAATAAATGTATGATTTTCTTTTAAATCTGCTTTGGAAAAACACACACACAGCCTCTCAACTTAAAATACTTTTTTTTAAGGTAACAGGTTCTTCAATCTTAATTCTCTAATGCAGAAGAAGTATTTCTTTTTATTTAACCTAATTTGCTATGCTGGCTCACTAAATTGCATGAGCTGTCCCCTTTTTCATAATCCCATTTTTCCATAGTTAAATCTCTGGGGGCTGCCTCAGTCTCCTCCAGTGTGTTCGATTTGCCCCTGCCAAATGCTCTTCTCAGCCCAGAGCTTCACTGTCTGTCACTCCAGGACTTGATTCCTTTCTGTGGTTTTCTGCAGGCGGCGCTGCCCCATGCTGTCCACTTGCACCTCCTCAGTTCTGTGGCCCTCCCCAGCCTCAGGACTTGCCCTGCCAAGGGCTCTAGCTCACTGAAAGGCTTGGGCCCTTCCTGCTCCATGCCTCAAATGTGTCATGCTGGGGACAGGACCATCTCCTCAAATGTGTCAGGCTGGGGACAGGACCATCTCCCAGGCCTTCCTGCTCTTGGACTACCCACTCAAGCTGGCATGGTGAGGCGGCCTGAGTGTGGACTCTGGAGCCACGCCACCAGGTTCAGAACCCTGGCACTGCCACACACTAGCTGAGGAGCCTTGGGCAATGCTTAACCTTTCTGTGCCTAAGTTTCTCTATCTGCAAAGTGGGAATAATATCAGCACCTACTCCATAGGGATACTGTGAGGATCAAGAGACTTAATACATGTCAAGTGCCTAGAATTGTCTTTAGCATCCCATGGGAGCCTGATGAATGCCATTATCATCTCCTTGGAGGGTCCACGCAACAAGCAGCAGCAGGCAGGGGCTCTGTGCACCTGAGGCTTGGTTCTCTGCCTCAACTACCAGTCGTTATTGGTTTAATGGTTATATATTATAGGAAAGCTCTGCATGTCCACTCTAACCCTCCTCTGCCTGGCTCTGAGCCCCCGCCATCACTAGGCTCCTTTTCCTCAGCTTCTCCTTCAGCCCCTCTCCCCTATCCTAGCAGCTACACAGGCCCCACCCTGTGCCCCTCACATTCAAATACTGCCGGTTGGAAAAGATCCTTCCACAGCCAGGGAAGTCACAAGGCATCAGCTCTCTTTTGGCAGCTTTCCTGGGGAGGAGAATGGAGAGGAGCAGAATGACTTTGGTCTACTCTCCTCTGCCTCTCTCCTCTTGCCCCACCCCTGAAGTCCCATGTCCCCAAGTCCTACCTAATTCTCTTGGAGCCAATCTGTGCAGTGTCCTCATCCCAGGCTGGAGTTGGAACAGACTGGGCCTGACTCCCAGTGCTACAAAGAGGCAGCAAAGGAGCAGAGGGCCTTGAGGGAGGGCCACATCCCAGGGAACTCCAGCCCTCTCTGTCTCAGCCATCAAGTTACCTGGCCAAGAGCTCAGTCTGCTGGGCTGCTCGAGAGGTCCCAGTGAGCTCCAGCTGTCCCTCAACTTCCACAGGCAGAAGAGCCCTGGAACCTAATGAGGATGCTGACAAGGATGGCACAGCAAGAGGAGTGGAGAGAGCTTCAGGGACTGGTGGTGTCTCCCCTTCCTTAGGTGTGTGGGTGACAGGGGAAGGGGGTGGTCTAGGAGCATCTGGTTCACTGCTGAAAGGAAAACAAAGAGGAGGAGGGCATTATCTCTTTGGGAACCCAGCCAGCCCCCAGCTGAACCCTAGCTGCTAACCTGAAAAGATCCCAAACTTGGAACAACCCTACCCCCACCCATGCTCTGCACTCACACCTGCTTTTAGCCTTCAGTCTCCTCCAGTCTGATCTCACCCCTGTTACCCCTCAGTTCAAAGCCTGCAGTTCTTTCCACCTTCCTCCAAACCAACCCTGCCTTCCCCACCAACAAACCCATCCCTCCAGTCTGCAAAGCCCTGAACTGCCAGGCTAGCCACCTCCTCCCTCTCTGGCTCTGCTCAGCACCCTCCCTCAACCCCAACTTGCTCATCTGGAGAGGAGCTGTAGGTCCATAAGCTGGCATCACTGAGCATCTCCTCTTCATCCTCTTCTTCCTCACCTTCTTCCTCTCCTGGAGATGGGAAGGTCTCTGGTGGGGGTCCCACCCCCCTGCAGGCCCAAAGAAGGCAAGCCTGAGGTCCTACTCCCTCACCCCCACTATCCATACAGGTCCACCCTGTCCCTCCTACCTGCATCCTCACCTGGGCAACCTGGCCTCTGGAGTCCTCTCATCATGCTCAGATTCCAAACCTGTTGGCACAGGCAGGGTCAAAGGGGAAGGAACTCTGGGCTCAAGGGATGAGGACAGGGAGCGTTCTAATGTCTGAAGTGATGGGAGACTCTTAAAAAGGAGGGGAGGAGGGGGGCAAAGGCTACTGGAGTGGAAGAGGGTTTTTTAGTTCAGAGATGATACAGTCACATGGTTCAAAAAAATAAAAGTATAAAGTGAAAAGTCTCCTTTCTAACACTGTCCTTCTATCACCGAGTTCTTCCCACAGGCAACCTGGTTTCCTATGTGCCCTTTCAGAGATCTTTTAGATACATTCACAACTACATACAAATACATATTCTTTTCCCTCTTATTTTTATTTTCCACCAATGATAGCATATCATACACCCTATTTTGTGTTTTGTTTTTTACACCTAACAATATATTTGAGGATATATTTTCTTGTCAGCATAGAGTTTTTCCATTGAGAAAGGATCATTTTTAGAGAGCACGGCTCTGAGCTACAGAAAATAGGAAATCTTTTTCTCCCTTTTTTCCACAACCCTTCTTTTCCCCAGCCTACCTGTAGGCTCCTGTTCACTCCTGGCCTTTGGGCACCAACTTCTCCTGGCAGTATGTGGAAGTGGGGCTGGCTTGGGTGCCTCTGTAGGTGTAGGGCTCAAAGAGGGTCCCCAGGAGAAGGTATGGCCTGCTGAGCACTCCCACACAAGCCCACCATCTTGGCCCCCGGGCCCCCGAAGCCCAGGCACCAGGCTGCACTCTCGGCTGTGGGCATGAGACAAAAGCACCAGATACTGCAGACTGTTGGGAGGCAAAGGCTCAGGACCTGGAAGAGTGGGGGAAGCAGTCAGGCTGAGCTGAGAGGCCTCTCCTCTCACCCTGAAAAGCCATACCCAATAGCCCTGACCCTCCAAACTCCTGGGCAATCTCAGCTCTAGTCCTTTATTATTCTTCAAAGCCCAGACCCCCCAAGGTCCTGATATATTGCTTCCTTCCCCAGAGGTTGCCCTCATCAAACTACTCAGGGCTCCCCAACTCACCCCTCCATTCCCAAACTCACTCAGGGCTCCCCTTGATCCAACCCACTCGGAGAGAGTGTTTCTGGGTCTCCCTGTTGCCCCTCTTCCCTCTGGCTCCTATCCTCAGCCATCCCCTGCCTACCTGCACAGAGGATGCAGCCTGAAGAAGTGTATCTGCCAGCAGAAGAAGAGGCAGGTCAGCTTAGGGCCCAGGTGGCCACCACCCTCTGCCCTGGCCACTCACACATGTGAGGGGCCAGCCCTAATGGCGCCCTATTCGCTTAGACCACGAAGAGGGGAATAGGATCCTGGAAGGCCACAAACCACATAGGCCCTCCTGCTGAAGTGAAAAAGGAGCTGTGGCAGCACTTGGCCCTGGAGAGGGGGCTAAGGGCTGCTGCCTGGGTCCCCTCCCCAGAACCCCCACCCGGGCCCCTAACCGGTCCAACAGGAACTTGGCCAGCTGTGAGTGCAGGGAGAAGCCCAGCCGCTCCTTGAGAAGGCACCACTGCTCCATATGGCCGCCCAGGCGGATGCGGCATTTGCTGCGGCGCGCATCCAGCTGCCGCCGCTTCTCCCTCCGCCTATGAGACAAGTCCGCTGCCGGGGAGGAAGCCATGTGCACCAGGGCCTGGAGGGGTGGGAGAGACATATGTGTCACCAGGGCCCACACCTCTAGGGACTCAGTTTTCTCATCAGTGAATTGGGGAGGGACTAAACTAGGTTAATAGCAGCAGCAGGTATGGGGCCAAACCACCCCTTCTCATATTACAAGGTGTGTAAGCTGAGCGCCTACACAGGTCGTCAGGTGGGAGGTAGGTGGACGGAATCAAGTCAGAACAAAGGCCTGGGCCCTCCAGCCCAAGAAAGGGGATGTGAGACTTTCGTGGGGAAATTTCAACTGGGCTGGGGACACAGACACTTCATCTTGATAGGGCATAGGCCTTCACCGGTTTATAGAGGAAGGAGGGAGCGTGCCCCGGTGAGGAACTGGGAGTGCTCTTCATAGTTGTGTCCAGCCGGGGCGGGGTCGGGGCAGAGGTCTGAGGGTGCCCGCCACCCCAGCTTGGGCCGACCCACGTACCACTCACACAATGCACAGAACCGACCAATCCCCAAGGCAGCTCCCAATCCGTCCAGACGCCCGGCCGCCACGCAGCCCCACCCCGGGCCTACACCACCCAGGCCTTACCTGCGCGCCCCGACCCGCCCTCACCCTGACTGCGCCTGCGCCTGCGCCTCCCCGGGCTCGCGCGCAGGCCCGGAGAGCAGCAGGAGGACCCGGGCCCACCTCGCGCGCGCCGCCGCCGTTTCTCTTTTAAGAAGAAACCGTCCCCTCCTGCGTCGGCGGCTCCAGCCCGGAACTGGGGCCCGGGACGGGGGGAGGGGCAGTTGGCGCCCGGCTCGCGCTTGCGCAGTGGCCGTCCGCGCAACGCCTGCCGGGAAGCCCGGTTCCTCCGTTTGAGCTGCCTGCGGGTGTCGCAGAGCCGTGGGGCGTTGTGGTTGGGTTGGTTTTGAAACAGGAGGCCTGGAGGGAAGGTAGGGTCAAGCCCTCCTATGCGCCCACCCCAGCCCCTCCAGCTTGTCCAGGGACGCTGCGTCCTCAGTTCCCAGGTTGCACTCACCTTTGCCTCCCTTCACTTGCGAGCAAACGTAACCGCAGCGTCAGCCGCCTCAAAAGCCGGCTAGAGCCTTCGCTGTGCCGCAGAGGCCCCACCTGCTGTGATCCTTAGTCTCTGTGGGCATCAAAATTCGTCCGAAAAGTTGCCTAGGTTCTCTGTGGGCTCCTTCTGACTTCTCACTCCCTTCTCTTCAAATGGCTGCAATGGAGCTTCCCTCTTCCCCAGGCCGCTGCAATGGCGCTTCTCAAGAGCGCTTGCGACCGCGATGTTGCTAAATGCAGTGGTTGGTTCTCTCTGCTTCTCTTCCCTAAACAGCTTGTGAGTATGTGGAGTTCTTCCTCCTCATCCTTATGGCCCGCCACACTTTTTCCCCCCAGTCTGACATCTGTGACTTCGCTAGCTCCTGGTTTTACTCCCTTCTCGCTGGCTTCTTTCATTTTTTGAATCCTCCCGTTCTGTCCCACCAAAGGGTGAAATGTACTCAGGCCCAGGATCTGGACCAAGTATTCTCTCTTCTGGATATGTTCTCTTCTTGGATGGTCTAATCAAGTTCCATGGCTTTAAGTACACTGAGGGCTCCCAGCTTTATATTTCCAGCCTAGCCCTCTTTCAGCTCCAGATACACACACATATATATAAAGCCGCTCGGCTATATTTCCATGGTTAACTGAGTTAATACACTTAATACACGTAAAGAACTGAGGATAGTGCCTGGCATGTAGACAACACTGGTACGTGCTAGGTGATATTTTTTCAAACATGACTGTGGCAAACATGTAAAACTTAATAATGCCTGTCCCCTCTCCCATCTCAGAAAACAACATCATCATCTACCCACTTGCTCAGACCAAAAACCTGGGAATCAGCCTTAACTCTTTTTCTTTTGTGACACCCAAACCACATACATCAGTAAGTGCTGTTGGTCATATCTCCAAAAATATATCTTGACTGCATTCACTTTTGACCCTTCCACTGCTAAAACCCTACTCAAAGCCACCTGTATTTATTTTCTGTGGTTGGTGTAACAAATCACCACAAACTTGGTGGCTGAAAACAAGGAAATATTCTCTCATAGTTCCAGAAGCCAGAAGTCCAGTATCAAGGTGTGGGCAGGGCCACATGCCTTATAAGCATTCTAGGGAAGAATCCTTTTCTTGTTTCTTCTAGCTGCTTCTTGTGGTTGCTGGCATTCCCTGCTTGTGGCCACATCACTTCAATCTTTGTGTCTGTGGTCACATTGCCTCCATCTCTTCTGTGTCAAATCTCCCTTTGCTTCTCTTACAAGGATGCTTGTGAATGCATTTAAGAGTCCATTTGAATAATCCAAATAATTTCCTCATCTCCGTATCCTAGAACAATTACATCTGCAAAGTGTTTGCCATATAAAGTAATCTTCACAGGTTCCAGGGATTAGGCCATGGATTCTTTTCCAGGACCTTGTTGTAGCCTGGCATATCATTATGTCTCACCTGGTCTATGGCCACTTCTTCCAAAAAGATCTGCCTCCTACCTTACCTTCTACCCTCACAAAGCAGGGAAAGTGACCCAGAAGAACAAATTTATTGCTTAAAACCTTTTGGTGGTCTCTAGTGCAATTCAAAACCCTTACCATGGCCTCAAGGCCCTGTGTGATCTGTCCCTTGGCTGCTTCTCTGGCATCTTCCCCCACCTTTCCCTCCTTTGTCTACTCTGTAATAGCCCTTCCCACCTTTTTGCTATTTCCTCAGTGGGTCAAGCATGCTGGAGGGAGTTCCTTTCTCTCTGGAGCACTCACCCCCCCCTCCAGCTTTTCCCTTGGTTGCTTCCTTCTCATCATGTAAACCTCAGCTCTAAGATCACCCACACAGAAAGGTCCCTTTCCTCAGCCATTTTCTACCCACCGTGCCCTATTCTGTTTTCTTCATAGCACTCATTCCCTGAAATCATTTTAGGGAGCTATTTGTGTGTTGTTGGTATATGATAGGTGTTGACATGCCCAGCCTTCTCCTCTGCAGCCTAAACATCCCAAATGACATGGTGTCCAAACATGAACCACCATTAGGATGACCCCAGCATGTCCTGTCCATGTTCCTCTTGATCTGTGGTACCAATGACTCAATGTACTTGTCTGACTAGTTTAAGGTAGGAAGGAAGATCCCCCACCTTGTTCCACATACTTACTCATTAATGAAGGTATAACTTTGACATCAAAAGAACAGAACTCAAGGTTACTCAGCCCTTGGGTTAGCTTTGGGAGCAACCAGCAAGTCTCTGGGGTTCTCAGGGAGGAGGAATTGTAGCTGCAGTGACTCTCTGACAGGGGTGCAACAGTAGCCATATAAGACCTGACCATTACGCTGGGGGAGGCTGAGGCGACTGGGGATGGTAAGAGTTGAGGTCATGGCAAAGGCAGCTGGTGCTTTAGGACCAAGGAAACCTAGTAGGGCAGGAGCTATTTGGCCTATCTTAAAAGTTTTTTGATGGTGTATACTTATTATATTTTTCAGTTGTAAGATTCCATTTGGTCCTTCTTTATATCTGCTATTTTTGCTGAGACTTTATATTACTTCTTAATTTGCTGCGGCTATTGTTTGTTTAAGTATGGTAGTAATTGCTTATTGAAGTATTTGATCCTGGATGCTTTAAAGTCTTTGTCAGCTAGGCTAACATCTCTATTATCTTGGTTTTGGCACCTATCGATTGTCTTTTTTCATTCTGTTTGAGGTCTTCCACAATCTTTGTGTGACAAGTGATTTTCTATTTAAACTTGGATATTTTTTATACTGTTAGGAATCTCTGGATCTTATTTACATGTTCTGTTTGAACTGGCTTCTTTGACACCACTCTACCAGTGTGAAAATCTTCACAGTAGGTGTCCACTGACACCACTAAACAGGGATGGGAGGGACATTTCATTACTTCCAGGTGGCTGTGGAAGTCAGGTCTTCCCCCATGGTTTCCACTGATACTGTAGGATTGGTGACTTATCACCAGCCAGCACAGATGAAAGGCTCATTAATATAAAGGTTATTAAGTATGAAATGTCTGATTTCCTTAAGTACTACATTTGACGGTTGATATCCCCTACATTTCACTTTGACACTTCTTGTTTTATTTTTATTGTGAAGGTACATCCTCAGTCTTTCAAATGCATGTTTTGGCTTGTGATTTTCTTACACATTGTTTTAGAGCAATTTTTGTGAAATGTGGATAAGTTAAAAAATTCATATTATTTTCGAATATGAGTTCTATCATAGAACCAATGCTGCACAGACAGTTGGAAGTATCAATGAAGTGTTTGGGAAGGATGTGGCTAATAAACACAACAGTACCACAGTGGTTTGAGAAGTTCTGTTCTGGTGATTTTAATCTTGAAAATGAGCCACGTGGGTGACCTGAGACCAAAGTGGATAATGATGAGCTGAAAGCTATAGTGGAAGCAAATCCATCTCAACCTAGCAGGAAGGTTTGATGGTACTATTACAACAATATTGGACCATACTTGGCCTTCTCTGACTCTACTGAGACAGAGTAGGGATGGGACTTGGCCCCAACTCCACTGACATATTTTCACATCTGCTAACCACAAGACCTTGCACCACCCAGCTCAGCTATTTGAAGAAGCTAAGATATGCAACTTTTCATCATAAATCTTACCTAAGGCAGTCAACCATACCATCCGCATGTACAAGACCAGAACAACAACTGATTATGACCACTTGCTTCATTATACTACTAAACTCCCTGCCCCAGGACAGGCTTATCTGCCTTTTTTTGATCATGGGATGTATGTACTAACATGATTTCTTACTGAGCTTCCCCCACACTTGTATTGATGCTCTTTTAACTCCTGCATGGTCTCCTTTGTGCTATAGAATAAGCCCCAATAAAACCTTGTCGGGGAAAATTCTTGGCTTCATGTAGATTTCTGTTGCTTGTGAGCTTAAGAACCCCAGTAAATACAGATACAGGCTGCTATCAAAAAAAAAAAAAAAAAAAAAAAAAACCCAGTAAGTAACACTACCACAGCAGTTCTGAGACACCTCATTAAAGACTTATGAGGGTACAAGTCTAAGATTTCCACTTAGCCTCTGCTCGTCTAAGTGGGTGAGACCATAGTTTCGTTTTGCTTTTCCTGTTATATTTGACTCTAGTGGAGTGTTTGTTGTCTAAAAGTTTTCTGTCTTGGTAGGTTGACACTTTCCTCATCCTTTATATTGAGAGTTGGCTGTTATTTTTTTTATTATTTATTTACTGTCTGTGCTCATTGGAATTTCTCATTTGCTGGCTTCTTTAGCTCCAAATCTGGGATATATGAGGCAAAAAGAAAACTCATGGGACTAACCTAACCACCATATTGTTCTTTGGGTCCTGTGGTCGTTGGCCAGTCTACCTTCTCTCCATCTTTCACAGCCTTATGTTTTTTTTTTAAAACATATATGCCTAGGATTTTTAGTTGTACTTATAGAGAAGAGTAGAGCAAAGTATGTCTATTTCATCCTTCTAGAAGTGGAAGTTTTGCAGTGTAATTTATTTGCTTATTTATATTTATTATTTCTAAACCATCTCTTGAATGAGTTCATCTAGGGAGTAAGTATAGATAAAAAAGAGGCTAGTGAATTGAACTATATAGGACATTTATGTTGTTTAAATATAATGAAGGCAGCAAAAGCTGAGAACCAATATTATCCCACCCTCAGTTAGTAGGCTGGAGTAAATACAGTACAGATTTTGTAAGAAGATAAGAATAACTTGAAATCCCAGTGATTTTCCAAGCAACTGTGAACTTGTCCCTATTTTCTTTTCTTTTTAAAAAAATTTTTTGAAATAGTTTTGAATGTAAAGAAAAGAGAGGGTATCATTATGATTTGGTGGTAACTTCTCTTTGAGAGGTATTCATAGTGTTAGGCAGCATATAAAGCAGGATTTGTTGTTAATTTGTTGGGAGAGTTCTCTCTCTCCGTATACTGAATAATCTCATCACAAGAACTTAGTACTTCTTTTCCCTGTTCCTTTGGACAGTGTATCTGCCTATATTGAGACATCCTTTTTTTTAAGCGGCAATCACAAGGAATTTCCCAATTAAGCTTGCAGTGAATGATGGAGGGACTCTGCTCCTGATGATTTGGAATAAAGCTGCCTGTGGGTCAGGAAGCCAGCTGCACTTTGAACTTCATCGATTACTGCTTTCCTTTATCCCAAACACTAGCCAGTGGCAGATCCTGCAGCAGCCTGCACTTATTTCCTCAGTTGGACCTGAAGGGGAGCCCGACCAGGGAGATCAGATTATCTAAAGAGCAGAGGAGTATGGCACAGCAGGGGGCCAGTACCCAGAGAGGAGGACTTCAGATTCAAGGTAATTATAACATTCTGTAAAGTTGGTATTGTCAGGGAGACCAGGCTCCAGCTCCTCCAACCTTTTCATTTTAGCGATGCAGAAACTGAATCTCAGAAGTGAACAAGGAATTAATCAGGGTATTGGACTGTGTTCTCTACAGAGCATTCAGAGTGATTTTTAAAAATCAATTCAGATCATGTTGCTCCCCTGCTCAGAGTTTTCCAATTGCTTCCTAAGTCTGCCAGAAGAACTCTACAAGGTCCAGTGTGACGTGTCTTCTACCTGCCTATTCTGCCTCACCTTCCTCCACTCAAGCCAGAGGGGCCTATCTGTTCTAAGTGTAGCCAAGCTTCGGTCTGTCACAAGGCCTGTGGACTTGCTGCTGCCCGTGGCTGGAAGAGAAAGTTTGTCCAGACTTTTTCTCAATTGGCTTATTTGTCAATTAAGACAAATTAATTTGTAAATTAATTCAGTTTAAGCATCACCTTTTGAGATGCTTTTTTTAACCCCAGTTTACTAATAGCCTCCTATGACATCTCCATCTTCTTACCATTTTTTCTTTGTTATTCCTGTCATTTTTTAAAATGTTTTTTGTGTTTTTGTTTTCTTGTTTGTTTTTTTCTTTGCTTCCACAACTGGAATGGAAGCTTATAAGAATAGGGATGTTCAGGCCGGCCTCGATGGCTCATGCCTGTAATCCTAGCACTTAGGGAGGCCCTGGCAGGAGGATCACTTGAGCCCAGGAGTTTGAGGTTGCTGTGAGCGAGGCTGACCCCATAGCACTCTAGTCAGAGCTATACTCTGTCTCAAAAAAAAAAAAAAAAAAGGGATGTTGCCTTTTCATTCATTGCTGTTAGTTGCACAATATGTGTACCATAAATATAGATTGAATAAATACAATGAAGGTATAGAGAACCAAAAGCTGAGAACCAATATTGTCCCACCCTCAGTTAGTGAGCTGGAGTGAATACAGTACAGATTTTGCAAGAAGATAAGAATAACTTGGAAATCGCAGTGATTTTCTAAGCAACCATAGACTTGTTCGTATTTCCTTTTTTAAAATTATTTTAAGGCCAGGCATGGTGGCTCACTCCTGTAATCCTAGAACTTTGGGAGGCTGAGGCAAGAGGATCACTTGAGGTCCGGAGTTTGAGACCATCCTGAGCAAAAGCGAGACCCCATCTCTATAAAAAATAGAAAAATTAGCCTAGTGGTGGTGTGTACCTGTAGTCCCAGCTACTCCAGAGGCTGAGGCAGGAGGATCATTTTAACCCAGAATTTGAGGTTGCAGTGAGCTATGATGATAAGGTTGCAGTGAGCTATACTGCACTCTAGTAGCCTGGGCAACAGAATGAGACCCTGTCTCAAGAAAAAAAACTAGAATTGTTTTGAAATAGTTTCATATTTAAAAAAAAGTTACGGCCGGGCGCGGTGGCTCACGCCTGTAATCCTGGCACTCTGGGAGGCTGAGGCAGGCAGATAGCTCGAGGTCAGGAGTTCAAAACTAGCCTGAGAAAGAGTGAGACCTCATCTCTAGTTAAATAGAAAGAAATTAATTGGCCAACTAATATATATAGAAAAAATTAGCCAGGCATGGTGGTGCATGCCTGTAGTCCCAGCTACTCATGAGGCTGAGACTCTGTCTCAAATAAAATAAAATAAAATAAAATAAAATAAAATAAAATAAAATAAAATAAAATATAAAGAAAAGTTACAGCCAGTGCGGTGGCTCATGCCTGTAATCCTAGCACTCTGGGAGGCTGAGGTGGGAGGATCACTTAAGGTCAGGAGTTCAAAACCAGCCTGAGTGAGACCCCGTCTCTACTATAAATAGAAAGAAATTAATTGACCAACTAAAAATATATATATAAAAAAATTAGCCGGGCATGGTGGCTCGAGGTCAGGAGTTCGAAACTAGCCTGAGCAAGAGCGAGACCTCGTCTCTAGTTAAATAGAAAGAAATTAATTGGCCAACTAATATATATAGAAAAAATTAGCCAGGCATGGTGGTGCATGCCTGTAGTCCCAGCTACTCGGGAGGGTGAGACAGTAGGATCTCTTGAGCCCAGGAGATTGAGGTTGCTGTGAGCTAGGCTGATGCCACGGCATTCACTCCAGCCTGAGCAACAAAGTGAGACTCTGTCTCAAAAAAAAAGAAAGAAAGAAAAGTTAGGATAGTACATATATACATGAATAACCTTCAGCCACATTACCTAAATGTTTACTCCATTTGCCTTATTATTTTCCCTCTCTACTTATACTCTATATATGTATTGTTTTTCTGAGTCACTTGCAAGTAAATTGCAGAAATGATGCTTCATTACACCTAAATATCTCATTGTCTATTTTCATTTTTAAAAAATGCTCTTGGCTGAACGTGATGGATCATGCTTGCAATCTCAGCACTTTGGGGAGGGCAAGGTAGGAGGATAGCTTGGGGCCAATTTGAGACCAGCTTAGGCAGCACAGCAAGACCCCATGTCTATATAAAAAAAACCTAGCTGGGCATACTGGTCTGTGCCCATAGTCCTACCTAGCTACTCAGGAGGCTGAAGTGGAAGGATCATGTGAGCCCAGGAGTTCACGCCTGCAGTGAATGTACTATGATGAGCCACTGCACTCCAGCCTGGGCAAGAGAGCTAGACCCTGTCTCAAAAAACAGACACCAAACAAACAAAACAAAACATTCTCTTAGTCACACTGCAACCATCAAAAGAAAAAAATTAACATTGATACACTATGTAATCAATAGACCCCATTAAAACTTTTGTCTAAAGCACCACCAATGTGTTTTATAGCCAACACCAACACTAAAACAAACCAAAAAAAGCAGGATTGTTAGAGTCTGAGCTACAAAGCTCTACTAGCACCCCCACCCCCAGCCCTACCCCACCATTTGTGGAAAAATTATCTTCCATGAAACCAGTCTCTAGTGCTAAAAATACTGGGGACCACTGGAAAATCCTAGTTCCTCTGTCCCATAGTTCTTGGTTACTCTTAGACAACAAAAAGTCCTTTCCTCACTTTGAGAGCCAAGAACATTCTTGGTTCTTTAAGTTTGGTCCTGTTCAAAATAATAAAATTAAACTACTTCCAATGCCCAGCTCTTCAATAACACTTTTCAATAAAATCCTCTAGGCCCAGCGCAGTGGCTCACGCCTGTAATCCTAGCACTCTGGGAGGCCAAGGCAGCAGGATAGCTCAAGGTCAGGAGTTTGAAACCAACCTGAGCAAGAGCGAGACCCCGTCTCTACTAAAAAATAGAAAGAAATTAATTGGCCAACTAAAAATATATAGAAAAAATCAGCAGGACATGGTGGTACATGCCTGTAGTCCCAGCTATTCAGGAGGCTGAGGCAGAAGGATTGCTTGAGCCCAGGAGTTTAAGGTTGCTGTGAGCAAGGCTGACACCACAGCACTCTAGCCCAGACAACAGAGTGAGATTCTGTCTCAAAAAAAAAAAAATCCTCTTTATCTAGAAGGCCTGAGACAGAAGGAAAGGAGTAGCCTTATAACAGCACCTGCACAAAATAAGCTGAGGAAACTATTTGATTGCTGAAGGCGTGAGTTGGGTAGAACTTTTGTTGTACGGTCTGCCTCTGGTTATGCCAACCTTCTCTCGGGACTATGAAAACACTCAACGTGATGCCAGCCCCTTGGCCCTCTCCATGGGAAAACCCAAGTCTGCTACTACATTTGTTGAGGTGAAGCTGAGCTCTCAGAATTAAGATGACTACAACACCCAGCGTTTCAGGTTTATTAACTGATGTCTTGATATCCTGAAGACAAATGATTTCAGACTAGAAAACAGAAAACTGCTTTCTGGGTATACACTGGAAAAAGGAAGATCTGAAAGCTGCTTGGTGGCAAGAGAGGAATGGATTGGTTTAAGTGAGGAGCATATGATAAATTTGTTGGAGAGAAGTGAAGTGGTTCACATTTTCACTGAGACTTTTATAAAGCTATATTACCTTGGAGGGCTTTAAGGGGATGACAACAGAATGAACAATGAAATGGGGGTGGTCATTGGGAGTGGCTACGAGGAGCGGTCTCCAGCCTTTTTTTTTTTTTTTTTTTTGTTTCAAAAATTTTAATTTATTGAGATCGATGCTTCTCAAATTTTTTTTTTTAATTTTTTTTTATTTTGGCATATTATGGGGGTACAGATTTTAAGGTTTCAATAAATGCCCATTTCCCCCCCTCTCCCCAAAAGTCTGAGTCTCCATCATGACCATCCCCCAGATGGTGCACATCTCACTCATTATGTATGTATATACCCGCCCCCCTCCCCCCTCCCACCTCCCCAATACCCTATTACTGTAGCATCTATGTGTCCACTTAGGTGCTACTCAGTTAATACCAGTTTTCTGGAGAATATATCTGGTGCTTGTTTTTCCATTCTTGGGATACTTCACTTAGTAGTATGGGTTCCAGCTCTAACCAGGAAAATATAAGGTGTGCTATATCACCATTGTTTCTTAGAGCTGAATAGTACTCCATGGTATACATATACCACATTTTATTAATCCATTCTTGGATTGATGGGCACTTGGGCTGTTTCCACAGCCTTGCAATTATGAATTGTGCTGCTATAAACATTTGAGTGCAGGTGTCTTTTTTGTAGAGTGTCACTGGATCATTTGGGTAGATGCCCAGCAATGGGATTGCTGGATCAAATGGTAGATTCACTTGTATCGCTTTAAGGTATCTCCATATTGCTTTCCACAGAGGTTGAACTAGTTTGCAGTCCCACCAGCAGTGTAGGAGTGTTCCTCTCTCTCCGCAACCACGCCAGCATTTATTGTTTGGAGATTTTTTCATAAAGGCCATTCTCACTGGGGTTAAGTGATATCTCATTGTGGTTTTGATTTGCATTTCCCTGATGATTAGAGATGTTGGGGATGAACTACAAAGCTTCTGCACAGCCAAAGAAATAGTCATGAAAGTAAACAGACAACCTACAGAATGGGAGAAAATTTTTGCATCCTATGCATCCGATAAGGGACTGATAACTAGAATATACTTAGAACTCACGAAAATTAGGAAGAAAAAATCAAATAACCCCATTAAAAAGTGGGCAAAGGACTTGAACAGAAATTTTTCTAAAGAAGACAGAAGAATGGCCAACAAACATATGAAGAAAGGTCTCCAGCCTTTTTAACAGAAGGAACTGGTTTCATGGAACAGTTTTCCCAGGGGCAGGGGCCAGGGGCTGCTCGCCGCCTCGGCTCCATCTCAGATCATCAGGGGTTGGATTCTCATGGGGAGCTGCAACCTGGATCCCTCCCATGCGCAGTTTGCAGTGGGGTTTGGGCTCCTGTGAGGGTCTGATGCCCGAGGATCTGGTAGGGGGTGGGGCTCAGGCGGTGACAGGAGCAATGGAGAGCGGCTGTGGGTGCAGGTGGGCTTCATGGGCTCGCCTGCAGCTTGCCTCCTGCTGTGCTGCCCCGGTTCAGTGCTAGTTGGTCGTCTGTGGTCTGGGTGTTGGGGACTGAAGGCTTAGAAGAAATGTCACTTACCCTGCCACGTGCACCACTACAGTTCAAGATGGAGAGAGGAGGAATGGCAGAGCACTGTGGGAGGCTGTTTAGACTTTTCTCTTTTTCTAACTAGAGCATCTACACCTCCTGAGTCCCCCCCCCAGCAAGCATCATATTATATATTGGGGCTTAGGACATGGCAGATGTGATGCTTTGTGGGTCCCCAAGGCTCTCCAAGGCTGCCACTAGCTGGGGGTCTGGGCCTTGCTGGTCCATCAAAGCTCTATAAATTTATCTTGGGGGTTTCTCACTGTCTTGGGGAGAGTATATTTCTGGAGGGCAGGAGAGGGGAAAGGCGAAGCAGAGTGGAGAAACAACTAGGAGACTTAAAGGAAGGGCCCTGTGGCACTGAAGAGACATGGGGCAAAAGGTCCAAGAGCAATAAGAAAATACCCCTCTAAATTAAAGTCAGATGACCCTGTTCCAACTCTTCCTCTTCATCATTGTCCCCTCCTACACCCCATAACTCCTGTCCTGTCCTATCCTGGTACCACTTCCTCCTCAGCTCACCCCTACTTCTTGTCCTGCCCATGCTATCCCCTTTGTGCAACTTAACTCCCTGCAATACAGTCAGAAGATCCCTTAATACAAGTCCAAGAGCATTTTTATCTCATATATATGCAACTACTTCCAGGAAGTGAAACACCGAGAAGGCAGACCAGTGGCACTAGGACCAGAGCAAGGGCGAGGAGCAATTAGGACAGGACAGGCAGGCCCTGCAGAACCATATCACAACTAGATACAACCTGCCTATGAGCAACAATGGTGGGGCAGATCCCCTGGAGCTATAGTTCTAGAAGGCCTGCTAGCCTCCTGAGAGATGGCCAACATGGAAGCAGGATAATGAAGATGATTTTTCACAAATCAACAAGATGTGTACAATTGGTCTAAGTTTTAAACAATTGTAGTTACTGTTGAGTTTTCTCAATATCTATATGCTTCAATTAGCACAGCCTTAATAATTTGTCCTTTAATAAATAGGATATTCTCCATGGAAGTCAATTTGGAGAACTCCCATTACTGAGTCAGCCTTGGACAAAGGCCCACTCAGCTACACATGTTCACTCTGGAAGTGAACTCACTCTAGATGTGTGCTAATTTTAGATACAGTTCACATCTCCATAGCTTAAGTATCACACATGCTGGAGTTTAAACAGAGGATTCAAAATAAATGATAGCACAGTGATTGTAAAGATGGAGAATCTATATGAGTTAGTTAAATTATGTCATTCTACAAATTCCACATAGCCACTTGCTTGAAAACCAAAGCAGTGAAACAAAGTGTGAACTGCTAAGTACAAATTTTACTATATGCATGAACTATTTTATTGGATTTGAAAGTTTTTAAATTTAAAAATTAAAATATTTTTAAAACTAAAGGATGAATCTAAAAGATAAAACATCACATCAGTATTACAATTCAGTCAAATGTCACTCTCTTTAAAGTTTTCTCCAGTCTGGCTCAGGAAGTCCTGCCCAGGCAATCCTAAAAACTGTGTCTTCTTGCTACCTGGCAACGTTTCAGCACTTCTCAGAGTATTCTGTTATTTTGAGGTTTTGCTTTCTGACTCACACTGCTTGTCTTTCTAGTTCATTGCCTCTGGTCCACTTTTGATCCCACTGATGATTTGTGGGTCCCCCAGGCTCTCCAAGGCTGCACTAGCTGGGGGTCTGGGCTTTACTGACCTATCAAAGCTCTATAAGTTTATCTTGGGGGTTTCTCACTGTCTTGAGGAGAGTATATTTCTGGAGGGCAGGAGAGGGGAAAGGCGAAGCAGAGTAGAGAAACAACTAGGAGGCTTAAGGGAAGGGCCCTGTGGCACTGAAGAGACATGGGGCAAAAGGTCCAAGAGCAATAAGAAAATACCCCTCTATTTTCCAGCATGTCACCTAGTCACTGATCTATTCCACCTCTGTCCTCCCTCCCCTCTTGCCCAGTTTCCAATCCAAGCTCTATCACTGTAGTCACCCCTTAGCACATATCCTCATTCTTCTTGCTCCCTCCAAAAAGCTTTGCTGCTATCCTTGTGGGTGCACTGTCTCCCATCTAAGGCCAACTCTTTGCTGGACACAACTGTCCCCTGCCCCACCTCAGCCATATCCATGTTCTCTATCATCAATTTTCTCTGGTCTTCAGGGGTTCTTATATTTTTATTTTTATTTTTTTTCTTTTTTTTTTATCTTGGAAAGCTAGATTTATTCAGGGGTTCTTAATCCAGGATCCCAGTGGATAGAATTCAGAGACCCATGAATTTGGTTGAGAAATAATTTGTCTTTTTCTTCACTAATCTCTAGCTGAAATTGAGTATTTCCTTTCATTGAGGCAGTAAACCATAGCAGCATTAGCAGGACCAACCTACAGTCATGAATAAAAATCACAGATATTTTCTTATCACATTACAGTTGTTGCAGATATTTCAGAATGTCATTTGTATTCATTGCTAATTCAAAATGAAGGTTATTAAAAGTGCTTCTATATCTTATTTAATATGTTAATAAATAAGTACACATACTACTATATCACCTATTCTTTTAATATTTTGATAATTTTCAACATAGTTTCCTTTATAATCCTGTGTATTTTCTCTTGTATATTTATTTTTTTTTCTTTTCTTTTTTAGGCCCCTGCATACTTGGAGATCTCTTGTATATTTAAAACGTTATGAGTGAACTTTCCTCAACATGATAAAGGGCATTCATGAAAAGCCTACAGCTAACATCATACTCAATGGGGAAATAGTGAAAGCTTTCCCTTGAAGAGGAGGAACAAGACAAGGCTGCCTACTTTCAGTATGGCTATTCAAAATTTTAATGGAAATGCTAGCCAAAACAAATAAGATAGGCAAAAAAAAAAAAAAAGAAAAGAAAAGAAAAGAAAAGAAAAGAAAAGAAAAGAAAAGAAAAGTCATCCACCTGGAAAGGAAGAATTGAAACTCTATTCACAGATGACATAATCCTGTATATAGAAAAATCCCAAAGACTGCACACACATGCAAACTACTAAAGCTAATAAATGAGTTTAGCAAAATTGCAGGGTACAGGATCTACACACAAAATTCAGTTGTTTCTATATACCAGCAATGAACAATCCAAAAAGGAAATTAAGGAAACAGTTCCATTTACAACAATATCCCAAAGAATCAAATACCATAAACTTAACCAAGAAACTGAAAGGTTTATACATTTAAAACTATAAAACATTTCTGAAAGAAATTAAAGATGTATTTCCATGTTCATGGCCTGGAAGGTATTAATATTGTTTAGAGTCAATCACTACTACCCAAAGTGATGTACAGATTCAATGTAATCTTTATCAAAATTCCAATGTCCCCACCTTTTTTTTTTTGCAGAAATGGAAAAGTCAGTCCTCAAATTAATCAAATTCATAAGGGCCCCTGAATAGCTGGAACAATCCTGAAGAAAAAGAACAAAGTTGGAGGGCTTACACTTTCTGATTTTAAAACTTACAACGAAGCTACAACAAAATTCATCAGAACAGTGTAGTACTGGCATAAAGACAGATGTGTGATTGGGTCAGCCAAGCAGAACCAATCAATAGCTCCACTCCAGTGGATCTAGTCTCCAGGCCAGCCTACCTGCTCACCCAGGCATCAGGCCAGCCAGCCCAAGGACTCTAGCAACAAGCCACCCATGGACTATACTATAATTCCTGGATGGGCTGATTGGTAAAGGACATTTCCAGACAAAGCCAGTATGCAAAGACTGGACTAAGTACCTGCTCCTTCCAATGTGCAGTTGCCATGTATTAGAGTGTAAATTTTTTTTTTTTTGTGATCAAAGTTAAGTTGTTATCAGCGTAAAATGGCATGTTATAAGATGTTTTTGTAAGCTTCATGGTAGCCACAAAGCAAAACCTATAGTAGATATACAAAAAATTAAAAGTAAAAAAATCATAGCATATCACTAATCACAAAGGAAGAAAGAAACAGAGGAAAAAAGAGGAATCAAAGGATCTACAGAACAACCTGAAAACAACAACATGGCAGTAGTCAGTCCTTACCTACCAATAATTACCTTGAATGTGAATGGATTAAAATTTCCAATCAAAAGACATGAGTGACTAAATGGATTTTTTTAAAAAAAGATCCAACTATATATTGCCAACAAGGGACTCACTTCACCTCTAAGGACACACATAGACCAAAAGTAAAAAGATGGAAAAATACTCCATGCAAGTAGAAACCAAAGGAGAGCAGAAGTGGCTATACTTATATCAGATAAAATGAACTTTAAGTCAAAATTGTAAAAAGAGATAAGATATATGAAGATATAATGATAAGGGGTTAATTCAGCAAGAGGATATAATTATTGTACACATATCATCCAACTTTGGAGCACCTAAATATATAAAGCAAATATTAATAGATCTGAAGGGAAAGATAGGGTACAATTCAATAATAGTAGGGGACTTCAATACCCCACTTTAAGCAATGGAAAGATCATCCAAACATAAAATCAATAAGGAAACATTAAACTAAATTCTAGACCAAATGAACCTAACAGACATACATAGAATAGTCCACCCAACAGCAGTAGAATACATGTTAATACTTCTTAAATGCACGTGGAATATTCTCCAGGATAGATCACGTTAGGTCACAAAACAAGTCGTAACAAATTTAAGAAGATTGGAATCAGGCTGGGTGCAGTAGCTCACACCTGTAGTCCCAGTACTTTGAGAGGCTGAGGCAGGAAGATCACTTGAGGCCAGGAGTTGGAGACCAGCCTGGGCAACATAGTGAGACCCCGTCTCTACAAAGAAATTTAGGCCGGGCATGGTGGCTCACGCCTATAATCCTAGCACTCTGGGAGGCCAAGGCTGGAGGATTGCTCAAGGTCAGGAGTTTGAAACCAACCTGAGCAGCAGCGAGACACTGTGTCTACTAAAAATAGAAAGAAATTAATTGGCCAACTAAAAATACATAGAAAAAATTAGCCGGGCATGGTGGCACATGCCTGTAGTCCCAGCTACTTGGGAGGCTGAGTCAAGAGGATTGCTTGAGTCCCGGAGTTTGAGGTTGCTGTGAGCTAGGCTTACGCCATGGCACTCTAGCTGGGGCAACAAAGTGAGACTCTGCCTCAAAAAAAAACAAAACAAAAAAAAAAACAAAGAAATTTAAAAAATAAGCCAAGGCTGCAGTGAGCTATGATCATGCCACTGCAATCCAGCCTCAGCAACAGAGTGAGACCTTGTCTCAAAAGAAAAAAAAAATTGAAATCATATCAAGTATCTTCTCTGATAACAATGGTATAAAAGCAGAAATCCATACCAGGAGGGACTTTAGAAAAATTCACAAATATATGGAAATTAAACAACATGCTCCTAAACAAATCATGAGTCAATAAAGAAATTAAAAGGAAAATTAAAAAATATCTGGAGACAAAAGAAAATGGAAACACAACTTTGGGGCTGGTTAGACATGGTGGCTCATATCTGTAATCCCGGCACTTTGGGAGGCTGAAAGGGGAGAATTACTTGAGGCCAGGAGTTCAAGACCAGCTTGGACAACATAGCAAGATCCCATCGCTACAAACAATTTAAAAATTAGCTGGCTAGGGTGGTGCACATCTGTAGTGCCAGCTACTGAGGAGGCTGAGGCAGGACAATTGCTTGAGCCCAGGAGTTGGAGGTTGCTGTGAGCTATGGTGAAGCTCTAGCACTCTAGCCCTGGCAACAGAGTGAGACCCTGTCTCAAAAACAAAACAACAAAATAATTTTGTCCCTCTATCCTGCTACCCTAAGTTTATAAAAAAAAATAATAACTTTGGGGATGCAGCAAAAGCAGTTGTAAGAAGGAATTGTATAGCAAAACAGAAGAAAGATCTTAAACAACCTAATGTAAACCTCAATGAACTAGAAGAGGAAGAACAACCTAAGCCCAAAGTTAGTAAAAAGAAAGAAATAACAAAGATTAGAGGAGAGATAAATGAAATAGGGACTAGAAAAACAATAGTAAAATAAAAAAAAAAACAACGAGATGTTTTGAATAGATTAACAAAATTAACAAACCTTTTAACTACACTAAGGGAAAAAAACAAAATGCAAATAAATTAAATCAGAAATGAAAAAGAAATACAAGTGATACCACAGAAATACAAAGGATCATATTAGATTACTATGAACAATTGTATACCAACAAATTGGTAACCTAGAAGAAGTGGATAAATTCCTACACATATACAACCTACCAACACTGAATCATGAAGAAATAGAAAATCTAAATATCTGATTATCAGGTGCCTCAGGGGGAAAAAAATCTAAATAGACCAATAATGAATAAGTCTGAATTAATAATAAAAAGAAACTAATCAAAGAAAAGCCCAGGGCCCAATGGCCTCATTGCTGAATTTTACCAAATATTTATTTATTTTTAAAAATCTTTTGTAGAGAGATGTCTTGCTGGGTTGCCCAGGCTGATCTTGAACTCCTGGTCTCAAGTGATCTTCCTGTCTCAGCCTCCCAAATTGCTGGGATTACAAGTGTGAACTACAACATTTAAAGAATACCATTGCTTCTCAAACTCTTCCCAACAATTGAATAGGAAATACTTCCAAATTTATTTTATTTATTTATTTATTGAGATATGGTTTTGCTCTTTCTCCTGGGCTGGAGTGTGGTGTCATCATCATAGCTCACTGCAACCTCAAACTCCTGGGCTCAAGTGATCCTCTTGCCTCAACCTGCCAAGTATCTGGGACCACAGGCATGCGCCCCGCTGTTTTGTAGAAATGGGGTCTTATTCTTACTCAGGCTGATCTCAAACTCCTGGCTTCCAGCAATCCTTCCACCTCAGCCTCCCAAAGTGCTAGGATAACAGGCATTAGCCACTGCACCTGGCCCCAAATTCATTTTATGAAGCCATAATTACACTTATACAAAATTCAGAAAAAAGATACTACAAAAAAGGAAATCACAGGCTAATATCCCTGTGAACATAGATGCAAAAATCCTGAACAAAATACTAGCAAACAGAACTCAAAAGCACATTAAAAAGATCATTCACCATATTCAAGTGGGATTTATCCCTGGAATGCAAGGATGACTTAACATACACCTATATATAAATGTGCTATACCACATTAACAGAATGAAATACAAAAACCATAAATAGTCTCAACAGATGCAGAAAAAGAAATTTAAAAAATTCAACAACCTTTCATGATAAAAACTCTCGCATAGAAGGAATGTACCTTGACACAATAAAAGTTATATGGTGAATCCCTCATCATACTCATAGTGAAAAGTTAATAGCTTTTCCCCTAAAATAGGAACAACACACAGACACCCATTCCCATCACTTCTATTCAACATAGTACTGGAAGTCATAATACATGAAGGAAGCAAAAGGCGTCCAAATTGGAAAGGAAGAAGTTAAATTGTCCCTGTTTGCAGATGACATGATCTTATATATAGAAAACCCTAAGGACTACAACAAAAAACTGTTATAATTAATAAACAAATTCAGTAAAATTAGAGGATACAAAATCAATATACAAAAATCAATAGCACCCCTTGGTGTTTCTGTTAATGCTAATTTTTTTAGTTTCATATTTCTCCATTAGGACTTGAAAGGCTCTGAGCTTTTCTTACTGATTGCATCCTATCAGTGGAATTCAAATGGATCTGAATTTTTTACTTGTTGAAATCAATGAAACTTAAATAAAAACTGAGAGGTTGTCTTGCAATAAAAAACAAAAACTGTTGAGAATGTCTTCAAAATAAATCCTACAATGATAAAATGCACTGCTTAGAAGTACAAAAACAATCAGGATTGCTATACAGTAACAGTGAACTATCTGGAAAAGAAATCAAGAAAACAATCTCATTTACAATAGCTACAGAAAAATAAAATACTTAGGAATAAATTTAACCAAGCAGGTGAAAGATCTCCCCTGAAAACTTCAAAACATTGATGAAAGAAACTGAAGACAACACAAGTACATGGAAAGATATTCCATATTCATGGATTAGGAGAATTAATATTATTTAAATGGCCATACTACCCAAAGCAATCTACAGATTAATGCAATCCCTATCAAAATTTCAATAACATTTTTCACAGAAATAAACAATCCTAAAATTTGCACAGAACTGAAAAGACTCAGAATAGCCAAAGCAATCCGGAGCAAAAAGAATAAAGCTGGAGGAATCATACTGCTCAAAACAAACAGCCGATGGAACAGAATAGAGTCCAGAAATAGTTCCACGCATTTATAGCCAACTGATTTTCCACAAAGGTGCCAAGCATACACAATGAGGAAAAGACAGTCTCTTCAAAAAATAGTGGTGGGAAAACTGAAGAATGAAATTAGACCCTTATCTCATACCATATACAAAAATCAACTCAAAATTGATTAAACACTTAAATTTAAGGCCTGAAACTGTAAAACTACAATAAGAAAATATAAGGAAAAAGCTCCAGGACATTGGTCTGGGTAATAATTTCTTGGATATGACTCTAAAAGCAAAAATAGATAAAAAGGATTGCATCAAACTAAAAAGCTTCTGCACAGCCAAGGAAACAATTGTAACAGAGAAAAGAAACAGCTCAAAGATTGGGGAAAATATTTGCTAATGATATGTTGGATAAGGGTTTAATATCCAAAATATATAAAGGAACTCAAACTATTCAATGACAAGAAAACAAATAGCCCAATTAAATAAAGGGCAAAGGACCGGAATAGACAGTTTAAAAAAAAAGACATACAATGGCCAACAAATACATGAAAAAATGCTTAATATCACTGATCATCAGGGAAATGCAAATTAAAATCACAATGAGATGTTACCTTCCATCTGTTAGAATGGCTACGATAGAAAAGATGAAAGACAGCAAGTACAGGTGAGCATGCAGAGAAAAGGGAACTCTTCCACACTGTTGTTGAGAATGTAAGTTAGCACAGCTATTATGGAAAACAGTATGGCGATTCCTCAAAAAACTAAAAATATAATTACCATATGATCCAGCAATCCCACTACTGGGTATATATCCAAAGCAATTGAAATAAGTATGTCAAAGAGATGTCTGCACTCCCATGTTTATTGCAGCATTATTCACAATAAACAAGATATAGAAACAACTAAAATGCTTATTGAGGATGAATGGTTAAAAAATGTGGCATATATATGCAATGGAATACTATTCAGCTTTAAAAAAAGAATAAAATTCTGTTATTTGTGACAACATAGGTGAATCTAGAGGAACTTATGCTATACAAGGTAAGCTAGTCGCAGAAAGACAAATACTTTATGATTTTACTTATATGCAGAATCTAAGAAAGTCAAACTGATAGACATAGAGAGTAGAATGGGTGTTATCAGACGCTGGGAGCCGGGAGGTGTGGATGGGAAAAGGGGAGATGTTGCTCAAAGGGCATAACATTTCTGTTTGAGAAGAGGAATGATTTCTGGTGACTGCACAGCATGGTGACTATGGCTAATAATGTATTAATATATTTCACGATTGCTACAGAAGTGGATTTTTTCTATTGTTCTTGTATTATTATCTTAATATGTTACTTTTTTCTTACCATTTTTAGTAATTTAACCTGACACTGTGAACATATACAAGTGGATTTTAAGTGTTCTCTCCAGAACGAAATAAGTATGTTATGTGATGGATGTGTTAATTGGCCTTATTTGATCATTCTGCAATATATGTATGTATTGAAACATCACATGGTACCCCTTATTTATATATAAACAATTATTACTTGTCAATTAAAAATAATTTATTAAAGAAAAAAAAAGTAAAGCTTGGAAATTGACAAAAGAGATTGTTACTAGGTGTCCTTTCCAGAGTGGTTGGCATTGTCTAGCAGACCTTTGAGAGATTACCTATTTCCATTGGCATGTGCACTTCTGACTTTTATTGACTTGGCTATTTTACAAGTCAGTAGGGGTAGAGGTTAACTTGTAGAAAACTGATAGAATGAAATGGGTTCTGTTGGAGAAAAGGCCAAGGATTTCTGTTCATAGCAATACAAATAAAATTTGTCAAGAGATCCAACTGATTTCTTTGTAGTAAAGAAAAGATAACCCCAAAGTACAAATCACAACTTCAAACATCACTGTTTATTACCATTGGGATATTAACCTTTCACCTGTTAGCAACCTCTTTTCAGCATTCCTTTGGTTGAATGATTATTTAAAAATATCTCTTGAAATTCTCCTTTGCATTGGTTGTAACATTATTCAGGTCACTCATTAACAAACTCTCTCCTTGGCCAAACTTTAGTCAGGCTCCTCTGATCCCTGTTTTAGACTAGGCCTCCACCTTGGACCCCAACCTGTCTTTGGCCTGTCCAGCCCAGTCTTAGCAAAAAGTCCTGCTAAGTCAGTTTAGTGTGAATCCCCTCACACTTGACATCTGATCAAGTCCCTCATTTCTCACCTTTGCTGTCTAAGTCCTTGGCCTCCTTTTTAGGAAGAATCCCCTACCCTTGATGTGTCCTCTTAGTAATTTTCCATCCATGACCCCCAACCCTCTCCTTGGCTTTAAATCCCTAGCTGTCTTTGTTGTGTTTGGAGTTGAACCCAATCTCTCTCCCCTTTTGCGATAACCGTTACAATAGTTTGAATAAAATTCTCCCTTGCTGTTTTAGCAAGTGTCAGAATAATTCTGTTTAATCATTATTGAACAAATTCCTTAGACATGTGCATTTTATATTTGCATGAGTCATACCTTTCCGATTTTGAAAAATATTTTAGGAAAAGTCACCTTAGTGAGGCCTTACTTAGCTGCCCAAAGTAGCTGCGCCCTACCCCAAAGTAGGTTGGGGTCCAAGAACTCCTCCGCCATTTTATTGCCTTGCTTTTGTTTTTTTCCTCATCGTCTGCGTGTATTTGTGCTGGTCGGTGTCCCCTCACGGGCAAGTCACCTTAGCGGGGCAGGGGCTCTGTCCCTTTGCCGCGCGTTCGCAGCGGACGCTCCGTCAAGGCTCCACGACTGAAGGAAGGAAGGGGCGGTATCTGGCCTCGGGGACGCACAGGCCGCCCGCCCCGCGCGCTCTGCAGGGCTGAGCCCCGGTGTCCCCGCGCCCGAGTTAGCCGTCGCGGGGCCGCGGCCAGGACTTCGCTCCCTGCCTCCAGGTCCGCGTCAGGCCCTGCGGCGGGAAACGCGGCCGCCGCCTCGTCCCGCAAGTCTCCGACGGACGACGTTGACGCGGCGGGTGGAGGACGCGGGGCGGACCTTGAGGGAAGGGCCCCTGTAACAGTGATGAGAATGAAGAAAAGCATTTCTAAGAAAGTGTTCCTGGGGGAAAACGACAACAACAACGATCATTGTCACTCACTCCGCGGCAGGAGCTTTTCCAGCTGCTTCCCAGGTAGCGACCCAACCCGCCCATCCTCGCTGCGGCCGGCGCCCGCGGTCTCTGGGCCGAGACAGCGGCGCGGTGCCGCCAGGGCTCCAGCGGAACGCAGCGGCGAAGTTCTGCCACGGGCAGGCTGCTGGCGGGCGTAAGTACCAGTGCTAGGGAGCATAGGCCAGGCCCAGGTGTCAGGATGGCCGAGTGGTCTAAGGCGCCAGACTCAAGGTGTGTTCCTTGCCTGCGGGCGTTCTGGTCTCCAGATGGAGGCGTGGGTTCGAATCCCACTTCTGACACGTTCTCTTTATTTTCCATCCCTTAAGAAATTCCAGAACATTCTCAGAGGCCGCTGGTATTTAATTCTCTTCTCCAGGAAGACGACCAAAACTAGATTCTGCCTGACCCTGCTTTCTCCAGGAAGATGACCACAACTAAATTCTGCCTGACCCTGCTGTTCTCTGCCCTGAGTTTGCCTGCGACAGGTAGACTGCCTCGCTGGGAGAATCAGACGCTTAGAGCGGCCTCACGAACACCGCGGTGAAGAGCCGTCTGATAGCGCTGTCGCGTAGGATATGCGTCACAGACACTCATTTACTATAGTATGTCGCCAAGGAGGCCTCCATGTCTTCCCTGGTGGTCTAGTGGTTAGGATTCGGCGCTCTCACCGCCGCGGCCCGGGTTCGATTCCCGGTCAGGGAAGGGTAGCTTAGTCTTTTTTTGTCCCTTCAAACCTCTAATACACAAGGCAGAATGACCCTCTTTCACTCAGAAAGAAAAAATGTAACCCTGGCTTGGGCGAAGCAAACGCATTGCATGTAAACAAAATGTTTGTATCCCCATAATATCCTGAGTTAAAAAAAAATAAAAAACAATGTAATTAATAACAGAAAAGTGAAAAAAAAGTCAAAGCAGAGAGTAGTTACCAGAAATGAGCCTCACAATGGCTTATGAGCGCCAGCTGTGTGCCAGGCATTGACCTTTACCTACGATATTATAATTAAGAAAGAAAAACGACGCAGGCAGCGCGAAACGATCCAAAAAGATCGCGCCGGGGCTTCCGGAAGTGCCTGGTCTCAAAATTATGCCTCGGAATTTTGAAGGTGTCCTTAGATGTCCGAATGTCATTAGAATGGCACCTGTTGCCTAGAGGGGCTGGTAAGGAAGAGTCTTCTCTCCTCACATGGCTTGGGTAATTGTTGCTATGGAAAGAAGTCAGGTAATTTTTCCTCTAATATCTACGTTTTTAGTTTGAAAATAAATAGAAATAATTGAAATAGTGCCGCTATGACCCCTAGTGTTTTCTGTACCTAGAGTCAATAGATTCAACAACATTGATTAATATTTTTTCACATTCTCTCTCTCTCTAGAAAGTGATACATAGATAGATATACACAGGTATAGATTCTCCTGCCCCACCCATTTCAAAGTTGCAGATATGACATTACTCTACATGACACCTAAGAAAATTGACATTATCATATGCCAGTCCACATTCAAATTTCCCCCAATTGTCCCTAAAATATGTTTTATAGCTACTTTTTTTTATTCTAGCAATTTACATTGCCCATTTTTTAAAATTGGGAAGGCTGTGGAAAACAATTAATAATTTATTTTAATAATTACAAACATTTAAATAGCATTTAAGATCTGTCTTCTAACATGTTTGTAAAATTCTGAGCCTATAAGCCTTTTTTGTTGTTTTCCAAATTATTCATTTCTCCCTGGGCACCTTTTCTAGACCTGCTGCCCAGGGCTGAGTTGTCATCTACTCTCCCTCCCTCTTATTAATAGTTGTAACCCAGCTTCTCAGAATGAGGGAAGGCAGGAGGTCAAAGTGTTTTGTCTACGTTTTGCTGTGTCCAAGCAACCGGTGGCCAGCTGGCCTCGCATGGGGTACAGCAGCTCGCTTACTGGTCGGGAGCAGGAGCTGAGTCCCTATGGTGCAGCTCCTTTCTAGCGGCAGGTAAGCTGTTGTCTTTTCTAAGCCTCAGTTTTCTCATCCATAAAACTGGCCAAAAAATGAAGAAGAAAGAATAAAACTTTAACTTCTAAGTTTCAGTTTAAAATTTTCCCTGATCGTCAAACTGAATTGAAAACTATCTACACATATGTAAGAACAAAAGGAGAAAAAGCTGCAAGGAAGCACATCAACATACTGTGTGATTTCCTATAGTGGTAGGACTATACAAAATTTTAGTTTTCTTTGCTGTAATTTCATGCATATACTGAATTTTCTACCACAAGTATATAAAACTTATTAGTAAAAAATAATACACTTTACTTGAAAAACTACTCACAGATTACACAAAAATTAACTCAAAGTAAATCACAGATTTAAATGTAACACATAAAACTATAAAACTTTCACAAAAACATACGATAAATCTTCAGGACCTTGGGCTTAGTGAAGAATTAGACATGTCACCAAAAGCATGATCCATAAAAGAAAGCATTGTTAAATTGGATCTCACCAAAATTAAAAATTTGTTCTGTGAAAGACCTTGTTAAGAGGATGAAAAGACAAACTATAGACAGAAATGAGTTACAAACCACATTTTTATTGGTAAGCAAACCAAAAAATATTTTATTAGAACCTGGTTCTTTCTCAATTGATTCCTATCACATGGGTTTACATAGGCAGCTATAAAAGGCAAACATAAACATACTTTCTTAAAGATTCACTATACGCTGTTTTCTCTCAATGAATGGAAAGGGCAGACCACGTATCTGATGAAGGACTCATATCTAGGATATATTGAGAAATTTCAAAGCTCAACATTAAAAATCAAACAACCCAATTGGCAAATGAACCAAAGACATTTCATCAAAGAAATACATGAAAAGACATTCAACATTGTTGAAGTACAAATTAAAACTACAATGAGATATCAGTACATACTTATGAGGATGACTAAGATAAAAAAAATACTAATAACATCAAATGCTGGTGAGGGTACCGAGAAACTGGATCACTTACACATTTCTGGTAGTAATATAAAATGGTACGGCCATTCTAGAAAGAGAATGAAAATTTTTTACAAATCTAAATACATACTTACCATATAATCCAATAATTACACTCCTAGGCATTTATCTCAGAGAAATGAAAACTTAAGTTCACATAAGAACCTATACACAAATGTTCACAGCACTGTTATTTAATATTTGTAACAGCCAAAACCTGGAAACATCCCAAAGGCCCTCGAAGACTGAATGGCTAAATAAACTGTGGCACCGCCACACTGTAGAATGCTACTCAGCAATAAAAACAGCTTGAAGAAGCCTCAGGGTGTATTCATATGGGGTGAAAAAGTCAATCTCAATAGGTCATATACTGTATGATTCCACTTATATAACATTCTATAAATGACAAAATTATGATATTGGAAAACACATTAGGGGTTGCCAGGGCTTGGGAATATTGAGGGGTAGGGAGTGTGGGGAGAGTATAAAGGGACAGGTAGCACAAAGTAAATCTTTGTGCTGGTGGACTAGTTCTATACCCTCAATCCACATATGTGAGAAAATGACGTACAACTATACACAAACATTGCACCAGTGTCACATTTGGGGTTTTGTTATTGTAATATAATTAAGTAAAATGTTACTATTGGCAGAAATTGGGTGAAGGATACACTGGGACTTACATGTACCCTCTTTGGAACTACCAGTGAATCTGTACGTTTTTGTTTTTTTTTTTACGAGACAGGGTCTTGCTCTGTTGCCCAGACTGGAGTGCAGTGGTATGATCATATCTCACAGCAGCCTTGAACTCCTGGGATCCTCCTATCTCAGCTTCTGGAATGGCTAGGACTATAGATACGTGCCCATGCCTGGTTAATTTTTAAAAACTTTTTGTAGCAACAGGGATCTCACTTTGTAGCCCAGGCTGGTCTCAAACTCCTGACCTCAAGTCATCCTCCTTTTTGGGCTCCCAAATTTCTGGAATTACAGGCGTGAGCCACCATGCCTGGCCTATGATTATTTTTTCAAAGAAATTACCTGTTCCCTACATGATGGGCAACATTAACCCCAGCAGGTTTACTCCAGGAAGAAGCACACTTCTGGTACCCCAAGATTCTTCCTGTTTTACTCCCAACACATATAATCATCTGTCACTTGTCACACTTATATGGACATATGTCCTAGTCCTGAAGCTTGCATCCAACTTCACCAAGGGCAGGATTTGGGCCGTGTTCACCAGATTTCAGAACCACTGTCAGGGTGGTTGTTTAATTCACATGAGCATCATATATGCAGTGAGATAGAGTAGGGTTATGAGACCGGGGATACCACTGGCCTCTGTGGGGCTGGGTTGCAAGTTGGAAGGAGACAGAAAACATCTTCAGCAGAGAAGTAGTTGGGGTCTGGATGAGTCAGTGCTAAGAGAGGCAATTTGCCATGTGGCCTGAATATCCCTACACATGTCTTCTGGTTATGCCCTGAAGGCAAGGCCCTTGCTGCTCTTTGCTGGGGCCATTTCTCAGGGTTATGTATTAATGAGCAACCTTGAGGGATAAAGGAATGTCTTTCCCCTCAAACAAAAGCAGGCTTGCCTACTGCTTGCTTTACACTTGGTAAATTCTCTAAGCTCAGTGTTCTTCAACTCCAATGCAAGCCCAGTGCAGGTCCAGTGTCCACCTGGGCCCCTCTGCATTGTCCTCTTGGGACTTGAGGACATGGGGTGCTCATGCTCCTTGCTGTGCCATGAGTAATAAGTCCTTTGTCTCTAATTCACAAGTCTGGTGTTCTTTGTCAGTATCCATGAAACCGTGGCAGGCTCACTTTTAGCTTGCAAGTAGGACAAACCCCACCAGAGGAGGGCTCCTGGGCAGCATGTCCCTCTATCCCAGCCTAAGGCTCTAAAGATAATGGCACTATCTCAGCGGGTTCTGAAGGCCTTCCTCAAGGCACTTTGTTGACTTTGGTGATGAACTGTCCCCTCACTTCATAGCCACTTGGCCTCTTCCTGTGGGTCTCTGGGTGATTAGCTCACACCCTTGAGTGGTCCCTTAGGGCCAGAGTTTAGGCTGATCACTGCCATATGATGGGCCTCTCTAGACCTGCCCAGTCATC